GGCTTGGAACTTGCTGTGTAGACCAGACTAGCAGACCAGACTAGCTTTGAATTCACAGTGATCTGCCTACCTGACGTTGAACCTTTTTCTTTTCTTTTTTTTTTTTTTTGACACAGGGTCTCCCTGTAGCTCCAGCTGGCCTGTAACTTATTAAGTAGACCAGACTGGCCTTGATCTCACAGACATCCACTACCTCTGCCTCACCAGTGCTGGGATTAAGGCATGAGCCACCATAATCCTTCATCTACCACCTAGCTTTCTTTTTTTTTCTTTTGGTCTTTTTGAGACAGGGTCTCCCTGTAGCCCCAGCTGTCCTGGAACTCACTATGTAGACCAGGCTGGCCTTGAACTCACAGAGATCCGCCTGCCTCTGCCTCCCGAGTGCTGGGATTAAAGGTGTGCACCACCACGCCCGGCTCTTTCTTTCTTTTCATTTTATGTGTATGAGTGTATTGCCTGCATGTATGTGAGTGCACCTGTGCCATGCAATGCTGCCAAGGTCAGAAGAGGGCATCAGATTCTCCTGGAACTGGAGTTATGGATAGTTCTTAGCTGCCATGTGGGTGCTGGGTCCTCTACAAGAGCAGTCAGTGCTCTTAACTGCTGCACCATCTCTCCAGCCCCCAACTAGCTTTCTTATATAGCCCAGGACCACTTGCCTGGCAATGGTAGCACCACAGTGGGCTGAGCCCTCCTACATTAATTAGCAATCAAGACAGTGACCCACAGATAATCTCCCAGGTCAGTCAGATGGAGGTAATTCATCAGTTGAGGGTCCCTCTTCCCAGGTGATTCTAGATTGTGTCAAGTTGACAATAAAAACTAACTAGTACATTATACCCCTTGTCAACTTGACCCATAAACACAGCACTACTGAACCATAACCTTTCTTGTTTGTCCCCAAGACCTCATGTCAATATAATAAATAAAATACATACAACTGCTGGGAGTGGAGATGCATGCCTTTAATCCCAGCACTCAGGAGTCAAGAGGCAGGCAAATGACTGTGGGTATTGCTTACCTTCTTAAAATTTTGTATCCATTTTTATAAGTGCTTTGCCTACATGCATGTAAGTGCACCATGTACCTGCAATATCCTCGAGGTCAGAAGGGGGCATCAGATCTCCTGGAACTGGAGTGAAGGATGGTTGTTAGCTGCCAAGCCACATTTTATTTTTAAAAATATTTT